AGTAGTAAAGGTATATTTTATTCATTTTTAGTATAAGGTACCAACCATTAGCAAACATTAACATTAAAAATCTCATCAAGCTTGCACAGAGTCATAAAATGTAATTATCCAAGCAGAATATTGATGTCTGCACAGTGTTATATTTTTGGGCTCGCATGGTTTGCAATATGAACGAGGTGGGGGCCACAGTGCTGTTTTTCTTCACGGGGCCCCATATCACCCGGCGGCACCCCTGTGTGTATCGGCTTCCTGTATGAATACGAAAAACAGACCACGTGGTGTAAAAGCAGACTGCAGCTTCTTTTGTTCAAATCAATCAAACCAGAGACGGACAGAGAGCCGCTGAATCAGGAAATCGCCGGTATCTGATTTATTTTTAGTTGTCTAAAATTAATAATGATATTTCCCGAAATCACACAGATTGTACCTGGGCTTATTAAAAAATATTTCCAGCCAAGAAAACGTGGATAAAGTTTTATGTTGTATCATCGTTTTATAGAGTGTTTGTGTTTATGTCTTTATTTAGGATGTGTGTTAGCATACAGTAGAGAGGTAACGTTAGCTTAATGAAACCTATCAAGTCGTCTGTTTTTCCCATTTTATGTGATATTATTTTACGGTGGGTTCGAGAGTGTTGGTGTTTTCGTACAATATACAAACTTTGCGCAGCTTGTTTGTGTAGCGGCTAACTATTTAACTTCGTACGCCGTGTGTTAGCACATCAGCTAGCTTGGTACCCGACCATTATGTGAACAAAGAGCGACAGAGGTTAGCCGCTCAGCCTAATGAGGCTAGCAGCTAGCTCGCAAACTTAAAACGGTGCACTGTTATAGTTTGCTGGGGTTTTTTGTGTGTGCATAACAAGCTAGGTGGTTGTTTTTGTTTGTGTATTTCCCCCGACGCCAATGTCGAATAGCCGAGTATTAGACAGCCACTAAGAATGTAATTTAAGAAAACCGGAGAGATTTTATTAGCTTGTACGTAACAATAGAGATGAATTAGGGCTTCTTGAATGTGGCAAACTTATATAACGGCACACATATAGTGCTGGCAGCATCAACTCAAGCGTGTGAACTTGTAGCCAGTGAAGTTCGCCAATTCGCCAAAGTTTACGTTAACAAAAGACCGATTTGAAGCATTTAGTTATTTTTAATAACGTCCATTCCGCCATAACCAGCCCACGAGTTTAATGAGTTGAAGTTTTTGGTAATTAACTCCTGCACAGGGTTTTTCATTCACATCTTATTGTGTTGTGCTGTACTTCAAATAAGTGTTTCTGTAATTTAACACGTTAGTAGTTTTATTCAACAAGCCTTCGTTTGGTCTTTTCCACAGCCTTTGTTTCTTTGACAATTAAGTTTCCATGTGGTCTGAATAACACTATGGTTTCTTCTTTTCCACAGAAAACAGCTTGAGTTTGAAAGATGCCACGCAAGAAGGTGACAGATGTCTCAGGGAATGGTGGGATGAAAAGGAAGCGAGCCAGCGGGAAAAGGAGAGAGAGGGATTTCAGCAGTGATGACGAGTTTGACTTTGAGCAGGAAAACAACAAGAAATCCGGCAAACCCACCACCAAGTCTGGTCTCCAACCGGTCACTGTGGCAGACGACGTGAAAGAGAAAATAGTGCGTTTGATCAAACATAGACTGACTGGTTTTTGAAATTTAAAGTGTTCTGTGTTACAAACATTTCTCAGTTATTACCTGATAATGACCGTCAGTCAAACCGTTCGCCTTTCTTTGTTGTTTTTCATCAGCATGTGTGTTTATGCTTTTCCCTTCTCATAGTACAGCCTGACCTGTAATATGAAATTTAATCAGAATTTTTTCATTGTTTTTCTTGTTTAAAAAGAAATATTTGCTGTATGAAAAGTTTGTGTTAAAGCTGTCCCTGTTTGGTTATTGCTAAATAATAATACAAAATAAAACCTACTTTTCCCTTTGACCCAGGAAATTTAGATTAGATTTATTTTTTGTTTATTCATTGTTTGTTTGTTTTTTATAGTTATTGTCCTCTTTTTGCAGAAACTCGAGTGCCCAAAGGTAAAGGGCCAACTGCTCATCTTTGGGGCAACCAACTGGGATTTGATTGGAAGAAAGGAGGTTCCCAAACAGCAAGGTAAACACCATTCAAATGGCTATCCTATAATGTACCTGTGTCGCAGGATAGTCTAGTTTTTGTATGTTGGCATGGCCACGTGTATCCTGTTTTCTTAGGGAGTATGACTCATCTAGTCATTTTTAATATTTTGGTGATGATGGCGTGATTAAGAAGCTTCCTGAGGTCCTTGTACAGAGAGTGCACACTGTAGTCCTGAGCCTGTTAGAGAAACTATTTTTTATCAAGAAAAGGCTTCAGTGCATAATCAAAGCTACAAAATGTTATTTTTACCTTTCTATTCTATCAAACAGTTTGTCTGTTGTTTGATACAAACACACCTTTCATGAGCTTCCATGGTGCTGGTAGTTGTGAGGTCAACCTATACTGCGCTTTAGGTCAAGGGTCACCGACCTTTTGTTAAACTGAGAGTTACTTGAAGCATACAGAGTAGTACAAGGTGCTATTTGTATGATATCTTGAATAACAAAGTTTAGCTGTTCCCCTTTAGTGCTAATATTTCTATCTGAGAGCGGGTGACCTGATCACAGTAGTGTCGAGGATTCCCCAGAATTAATATTTGCAATTATTTGGGGAACGCAGATTTAAATACACAACATTGTTTATTTGTGCGAATCTTCTGTATCAACATTTGAAAGTCTGTTTCCACTTGTGATATTTTTGTAAATATTTTGACAGTTTTGTATGAATGAACACATTTGTAGCATTTTGTCTAAAATAATTTTCTTTAAGAAACCATTAACTGTCACAACTTCAAATCATGTAACATTTTTTTTATTTGAACTGATCACATTTTTGTACAATATTTGAGTTTAACAGAACTACAGCGTCTTTTACTGAAAACGTCTTTGTAAATATCTGTTAGTGGGAAGCCTGGTTTCCCACTTTTACAATATAAACAACACTGCACTTCTGAGTGAGTCTTGAGATGTGTGGAGGTCATTTTGTTAGGATTTTAATCTTGTTCAGCATCCAAGTTGAACTTAGCTGTTCAGCAGTGCATGTCGTGTACACTTACATGAAATGATTTCAGATGACTAACACACACATGGCTCAAGTCGATCAAAGTCACTAAACCTGTTCTCAAACTCTTGCCCGAGTCTGTTTAAGACTTGAGCGTACTTGTCTGCAGCTTCGTCCAAAGCCCCAGATGCAGAAGCATTGTTATTCAGCACTGACTGCACAGAGGGAAAGTGCAGGGATTTTTTTCTTCCTCTGTAAATGTACAGAGAGAATTTTCATCGTAGCTTTAAATGCATTTCCAGTGAGATGTCTTCATCTTGGGTTTGCATTAACTCATTGAATTCAAAAGTGACAAAAACACTGCCAAACTCGCCCCCGCCTGCACCATCGGATCTTTGTGTTTTGTAACAGGTTACCATATTCAGCTAAAAGTTCCAGATGCTAATTATGATCTCTATGATGGGAGTTGTCATATTGCATGTATCACCTGCTGCTGAATGGTGCGGGGGTAATGTAGAAATGTTGGGAAATCTGTGTAATTTTTACATTGCACAATGACGCCTGTTCCATTTGTAGTTACGTCAACAGCTTTTTCACTGGTATCTTCTTTTTTTTTTCCTCCATGAAGAATCTCTTCACCATATTGTAGATATCAAGTCCCTGTGTTGTTGTCTTCAGGGGCACTAGGGGCATATCCTGGGCAGAGAAATCATTGAACATCATCTAGACAAATGTTATCAGCTGTGATATACTGCTGCAGACTTGTTGCACTGGAAGCTGAACCACTAGCACTTAACTAGATTCCAGGTACTCGTCAAATTTAGCCCCTAGTTGGACATCTGAGAGTGTGGAGACAACATCAGGACATGTTGAAAGCTTTAAGCCTGTAACATTGGAGCAGTTTGAGTCACATTGATTGTATCTTTCATTACAACCAGTTAAAAGTACTAATTACTCATTGAAAATGATTCCTCAAAAATCTTGAGCCGTCTTATTTCTATTTTATACTTTGCTTAATATTGTAAACAATAATCCTCCAAGCTTTCAGAGATCTTCAAGAACTAATGTCCATAAGAAATAGGAACATAATCAAGCAAAGACTCAACACAGGATCTAAAAGATGCATCTGGCCTGTCAGTTGATCCGTCTACTGTATGCCAAGCCTCATCAGAAGTAGACGTGTGGCTGTCAAGAAGCCATTCTTTACCCTCTAGAGTCAACTTTTCCTGAATCCTGTCGTCACCTTTGTTCAAGACAGAAACGGCAAAAATTTGATTTACTAAGGAAAGCTCTCACAAGCTTCCTCAAAATTCAGTGACAGCAGGTCTTAAGGAGTGACAAATGCAAATTTACAATATCTGGTATCTATGTAGGAGGTCGAGAGAGATGCAGCAGTGTGTGGTGTTATCTTCATAGAGGAGAGCAAAGAACAAAGACGTATCAAATATTCATTTCAAGCTCATTAGAACTGCACAGACTTTGTGCTTCCTGTATTTTCATTTATTTTCAAAATTTTCAATAAATGACTGCAACAGTTTCCCAAACAACATGAAAAGAAATTGGCTCCAAGAAAAAGCACTCTCTGTGCATGTGAGTGCTTTTGTTTGCTGTGTGGATGCTCTTGTCTTTACCTGACTGCTGTTCTCATTATGGTGCAGAACTGATGCAGGGGCATACAGACCCAGACAAAATCAATAAGTGGTTGATTAGTTTACATCTGCAGTAGAGAAGTCAGTTGATGATGCAGCCTGTTCACTATGAACTGGCCGTACACATCACAGTGTGTGATCCTGGGGTTAAAAAAATCATTGCAGCCAAAGAGTCTGAAATAGGTTCATTCATGCTGACATCTGGACCCCAAATGAGTGAATGGGCTTGTTTATTTAACCAGCTGATGATGGTGTTAACTACATGAAGTGAGTATTTATATTCCAATCTATTTGGTTATGTCAAATCCAGAATTTACAAACATATTTTTTTGCAAAGGAAGTATAAATGGGGGAAAAAAATTAAAGTGTAAGTTTTGTTTAGGAAATAAAAGCTCGCGTGACACTGGGAGTACTTGTATGTGTGCACTGTTTCAAGCCAGATGGAAAAGATATCAGTCTTAAACGGCTCTAACAGCGCAGAGATGATGCAAATGAATATCATCATTGTGAACTTACTGTAAAATATATAAAGCATTTGACATCTGCAACAATAACATGCAACAAATACATAGATGTAACAGTAGTATAATCCAGAATACACCATGTTTCATGTAACTGGATGTTTCAAGTGTTGTCGAAGGTTTAACTACCTGTTTACTTTTTGCTTGTAGGACCTGAGCACGACTGAAAACATCCCATTTTAATGACAGAATTATTTAAATATTACCTGAAAACGGGTAACTATTTTTAAACTATCAGTCTTTGATAAAGGCACAACAGCGTGTCTATTCTGCTCTCCATCTCTCAGCTGGCTGGCTCCTCTCACTGCTGTCCTGGTGTATCAGCAGGAGTGGGAAGCTGTTGCTCTCCCTGAAAGACACCACAGCTCAGCTGCAGCAGTGGATTTCTCAGTCTTTCCTGACTCTGGCCACTTGCAGTTTTCAAAGGAAACTAGATGTATGATAAGTTGGTTTTTTGAGGTGGTTGTCACGGATTTTTGAATAGTGCATCCTTAAAAATGCACGCCATAATGCGCCACACTTTCCAGGTGCATTTTATTAGTTTTTCGTCACTCTAGAGTCTGTTTATACACCGGAGAAGAGCAGAGAGGTGGAGCTGATAACATCGGGAGGTCGGGCTGACCGGCGGCACTGTTCCTGTAATCGCCATTAAAACCTTTTACTGGGAAAAGCTAACAAAGTCCTCATCAAACCACCTGATCAACAAACGCTGACCTGAAGAAAAGTAAACTTTGTCTCCACCGCTGTTTGTTTTACACAGTGAAAAATCCTCCGTTAAAGTCAGCAGATGAACTGTTAACTTAGCATGTTTATATTACACAGCTCACTGAAGGGTGAGTCTAAAGGGGGCCGTGGGCAGTGTCAGACCACATCCACTTGAAATATTTTTTGAATAAAATAAAATTGAAATAATATAAAATATTGTGTTAATGAAATTGCATTTATTTAAAAATATAACATTTTTTCCACAGACCAATAAAAATGTTAAGCTTTGACTGCACTTGACATTATTTATATATTTTTGCATTTAACAAAAATATTTTCTTTAGAAAGTATATTTTTGACTTGGCACATAAATACAGTCAACGCTGTTTTTTTGACAATGTTTTGTGCAGTTAAACTATTAAAGTTCTCTAAGCCAACCGTGCACCTTAGTTATTACAAAGAAGTATTGTTACAAGAAATGATCAAACACAAACGTTCTTTTTTGTGCTCCGTTTATAGAAATGTCAGCATTCTTAAAGAATGCAGTGTTTATGAACAGAATAAGGTACAGAGGGAGCGTTGTGCCCAGTGTTGCCAACTTAGCGACTTTGTCGCTATATTTAGCGAGTTTTCAGACCCCTTAGCGACTTTTTTTCTAAAAAAAAAAGTCACTAAAAAAAAGATGTGAAAGTGTATATCGCTTTTACTCTCAACAAGCAGCGGGTGCTGTAACGCAGTCAGTTCTTCTTTTACTCTTTTACTCTTATGCTGTTTTGTGGATCACAAGGTTTAAAACTACTTATAAACACACACACACACACACACACACACACACACACAAAGTAACTCCACCAGAGTGCCTATTTCGGGTCACTTTTGCCGGTCCAAGGACAAAGGAGCAGGGTTGGAATTGTGACATTAAAAAAAACAATAATTGCTAAAATAAATTTAATTTGTAGTTCTAAATAAACTCTAAATGCATTTAGGATGTTTTTTACTCACTTTATGTCTCTTCCACGATGTTATTTCTCTCTCCAACAACATAGGTTACAATTAGATTAGCATGACCAATTATGCAAATTAGGCAATGACGTCATTTAGCGACTTCTAGCGACTTTTAGGACAGCCAATAGCGATTTTCCTTAATGAGGAGTTGGCAACACTGGTTGTGCCAGTGTTGTGCATTTGTGTGTGTGGGGGGTCTTGACACGGGTTCTGTGTGTGTTTCTTAGCTGCTTTCCGCAACCTGGGCCAAAATCTCTGGGGCCCTCATCGTTATGGCTGCCTAAATGACGTCCAGGTTAGCTGCGTGGTGTCCGGCCCCTGTGCTGCTCACAGTCTCTTCATAACCACAGAGGGCAAGCTGTGGAGCTGGGGTAAGTAACATGCACAGTGGTTGTCTGTGTTGGTTGTGTTATCAGACACTGAGCTTGTCTTCCTGCTTCCTTAGGTCGTAATGACAAAGGTCAGCTGGGTCATGGAGACACCAAGCGCCTGGAAGCTCCCAAGTTAATCGAGGCCCTGGCAGAGCATGTTATTGTTTCTGTAGCCTGTGGACGCAATCACACCCTGGCACTCACAGGTAGGCTTAACTGGGGACTGTGTGGGTTTTCCTTGCACAACAGCAGCTGTTTTCAGTGGTTGTGCAGAACAGCCACAAGATCGTGTAATACAGCCGCTTGTTGAAATAAAACACCAGTGTATTCTGGGATTGGATTACGCATTATTGGTTTGATTGCACAGGTCATCGAAGGATGTTTCCAAACTGAAATCCAGTCGGTAATGGCTCTGTGCTTTTAACATGTTTGCTGATGGTACTCTGTCTCCTCAGAGGATGGCGCTGTGTATTCATTTGGAGAGAACAAGCTGGGCCAGCTTGGTCAGGGCAACCAGACTGATGCAGTCCTCACCCCAGCACTGGTAAGCCAGGGTGTAACTCGTACTTTTCCTTCCTTTATCAGATGATAAAGTGTGGTGGTGTAGGTGTCACTGCTGTCCAAGTCTCGTCAGTCACAGGAAATGAATACAGTTAATCTGCTATTCCATAGCTTTTATGGTTTCAAAATAACAAAAACAAACTCAAAACAATTATATAAAATTATCAAACAAAAACAAAATTGTTAATTAATGGGACAGCAGTGCAGTGGCTTCATAGTTTACCTTAGAATCCTTTGGTTGTCAGCAATTCCTCTGCTACACAGCAAACAATGACTGTGGATCGTTAATTCTGCTAACTTTATTTTCCAAATTGTAAACAAATATGGTTTAAAACGGCGCTTACGGCGCTGCCGCGATGTAACTCAGTTTAAAGCTGTAACCTGAACAGTCCATCAAAGTGACCACAGCAGGACACCTCCTTCCTTTGTGCTCTGCCTCCAACATTCAGAAATCAGTTGATTTGTGCATACAGGATTTAGAGCGCAGAGAGCTACCCACAGACTGTGAAACTGCAACAGTGCACCAAGGAGACATACTCACGTAGACAGTGGCTTCTTTGTGCATGTGGCTGCTAAGTTCACATGCAGGTTATTGAATTTACATGCAAGGAATTTAATTGATCCTGTGAAATGAAATTATTTGCCTGGATTATAGTTTTCTTGTGCACAACTTACTCTATAGTGGTCTCGCTCTTCTAAGTCTTTGTGAGTAAATGATTAATTATTTAATCAAGTTATTGATTTACTCTGCCTGCTAGAAACCTGGTTACAGCAGTGAGGTGGTTAATTTAAATGAATCAACACCGCTGCCGCCTCTTGTCAGAATCCTCAAACAGGAGTGGCTTTCTGTTGCATCCATCAGAGCATGAATGTGTGTGAATGTTAGAGAGAAAGCACTTCTGCATTGAAACAGTGCTTGTGTGAAGAGGTGTGAATGAGGCATCGTATAAAGAACTTTGAGCGCTCCTGCAGAGTAGAAAAGTGATACATAAGAACAAAACATTTACATGTTTTAAAAGCGAACTAATTTCTTAAATCCAGCATCAGAAACAGTGTTGTATAAATGTAGCAAATTGTTGCCTGAAGGCACATATATTGTAAGGTAAACACTCTACAATAATACAGAGAAAACCCCAATAATCATATGATTAATTACTCCTTTGATTAATTAATGCATTGGTCTTAAATTATGATCGATGTGTATCAAATTCATTTTACATCACGGGCCACATACCACTTTGATCTTAAGTGGAGCGGTGAAGCAGGCCCTTTCAAAGTAAAGAATGTGATGCGGTCAAAAAAATTTGGGTGCACCCAACTTTTGTGCTGATGCACCTAAGAAAAAAAGTTAGTCTTGAGCTCTGTATAATGTATGGCAAACTGCTGTACCTGTAATAAAAAAACAAACATGCAGCACCTGGAATGAGCTGAGAAACAGGGTCCCAGGACCTTTGATTAGTCAGCCGCCATTGGTAAACTTCAGAGAGCTTACCATTGCGGCTGACCTGTCCAATCCTCTAACCAGGGTCTCCTAACATTATGTTGGTGAGGCTGTGGTGCCCAAACACCCTGTCAGGTTGAGCGTGAGATTTCTTTTAAACGACTGCTGAAAACACATTTATAGGTTAGCGTTCCCTTAATCTTTTCCTCTTTATTTTGGGCTGTAGTTTACATCTAAGTGTGTATGTTGGAATGAATGTTTTACCCCATGTGGTTGGTCTGTATGTCTGAACATGTATAATTTTAATGTGTCTTTTATTCAAACTGTGAAGCACAAATTCAGTTAAAATGTGATACACAATTAAAGTTATTGTTACTCGTGCTGAGCCATATCACTTCCTCTCAGACTGCCTGCTAGGCTATTTAAAAGTAGAGTGGGAGAGAGAGCCTTCAGGTTTCAGGTCCCTCTTCTGTTGAACCAGTCAGTCAAGAGACGGATATACTCGTGGCTTTTAAGATAAGCTTAAAGCATCGTTTTTAATAAAGCTGGTTGGGGCTGGATCGGATTACCCTGAAACCTCCCTTAGTTTTGCTGTGATGGGGTTAGGCTGCTGGGGTTGTCTGATTGTTGTGGTTTTCGCTCCATTATTTTAGGGTGCCACCATACAGTATTAAGCACTTAGAGGCAACTGTGGGGATTTGGCGCTATATAAATAAAACTGAATTGTGTTTCTCTCTAGATTTCCTACAATGGGCAGCCCCTGGTGAAGGTGGCTTGTGGTGCTGAATTCAGCATGGTGGTGGACTGCAAAGGAAACCTGTACTCGTTCGGCTGCCCAGAGTATGGACAGCTGGGTAAGCTCTCAGCACAGTGTTTTCATGTTTTAACATTGTTTACAGTTTAAAACTGCTTAAGGCTGCAGAAGATTGTTTGCAATGACACCAGTTTTCACGCCTCAGCGATTTAGGAGTTTTAAATTGTTACCATAGGTGCATCTACTAAAACTTCGAGCAGTTTTAATTTCAGCGATCTCAACCTCAGGGTCAAGTTTTCCAAAAATGTTGTGTATGTGTTAACTCGAGATTTTGAAATTGATACCATAGGTGCATCTGTTTGGGTTGGTAAATAAAGTGTTTTCATATGTTAACAAACTACACACTTATCAAGATGAAATGACATTTTATATCGAGCCCATTACAGTTCACCATCACTGATGTGTTTCACAAAACCTTTCTTGCTGATTTATTCTAGAAAACTGTAGTTAAATGCACGCAAATGATTTTCATCATGGTGAATTTCCCAGGTTAGACTTGGGCTGACAGCATGGACATCCAAGTTTGTGAATGTGATAACTTGAGAATGAGGTGGCATAGAATTCTGAAATTCATACCACGGGATATGTTATCATGTAGACACAGTAGTGTAGTTTGTGCACTGGAAAGCACTGATGTGTTGGGAACGATAAACTCCATTAGTTTTTTATTGTTCTGCATCTCTGTCACTGCAGGCCACAACAGTGATGGAAAGTTCATAGCTCGTGCCCAGCGCATAGAGTTCGACTGTGAGCTCATCCCTCGTCGTGTCGCGATCTTCATTGAGAAGTCCAAGGATGGCCAGATCATGCCTGTGCCTAACGTGGTTGTGAGAGACGTGGCCTGCGGGGCTAATCACACGGTGAGAGGATTCCCAGAAGTCTTATCAGGAGCAAATCAAATTAGATGGCCAGTGATTGATTGATTGATTGATTTTTTTAATTTTGCAAAAGGGTTTACAAACTGCTGCTGTTTGTGTTTTCAGCTGGTGCTGGACTCTCAGAAGCGCGTGTTCACCTGGGGCTTTGGCGGCTATGGGCGCCTCGGTCACACCGAACAGAAGGATGAGATGGTTCCCCGGCTGGTCAAGCTGTTTGACTTTCCTGGCCGTGGTGCCAGTCAGATCTATGCAGGCTACCAATGTTCGTTTGCTGTCAGCGAGATGGGTATGTCACATTGCAACAAGATCTCTAAACAGTCTCGCTCAAGTAGGTTGCATGAACGTTGATACTGTTAGTTTTCACAGATTCTTGTTTAACTTGGATGTTCAGGAAAGTGAAGTCATGTGCCCACCAGTCCATTCCATCAACAGTTTACACAAACCGAATGCATTTTAGAAACAAGTCTCATGGAGTTAAAATGTAACTTTGTAGCTGCACAGTAAATTTGTTTGAAGGAAATTAGGAGCATAAAAGAGGCGCCTATCAGTCTGCTCATACTTTAGACTTGTGTTATAGTCATTTGCATAAGATTACACTGGCAGAACGAAGAATTAAATCAATTAAATATAAACCAGTTCTTCAACATAAAGAGGATGGACTCCCTCAGACGTCACTGAAGCAGAAGCCTAGCAGATGATGACGTGTATGCCATTCAGACCCTAGTGGACAAAAACTGTACCATGGCTATTTCCTGCTACAAAAAGCCATTACAAGCTGCGATTATTATTTTCCATTTTTAATGAATTCAAATTGTTGAAACCATAAAGAAGTAATCGTGAAAAAGAAAGGCTTCTTTAACTTTCTGTCTTCTAAAGAACAGAAAACTTTTTTTTTTCTTTGCAAGGTTGTTTACAGAAACTACAATTTTAATGAGAGGTGTGAGAGGAGCACACGTATAAATCTGTACATGTTGTATTTTACAGGTGGGCTGTTTTTCTGGGGGGTGACCAATACTTCTAGAGAGTCAACCATGTACCCCAAAGCTGTGCAGGATCTTTGTGGCTGGAAGATCCGCAGCCTGGCATGTGGGTGAGTGCTGTCGTCACTTGTTTCGTTTTTTTCTTTTGGTTTTTATTACCCTTCAGCCATAAAAGCCTGATTGAGTATTGTGGGGACCCCACCAGGTGGGTGGACAGCGTGGACGGTTTGTTGATGTGATAACTCAAGAACAAGCTCACGTAGATTCATACCATAGATGTATCTACTAGAAACCTCAGATAAGTTTAAACCTCCACCTCAAGATCACAAGGCACGTTTTCTGAAAATATTGTGAATGTGATAAGTCAGGAAGGAAGTCGCCTAGGATTTTTTTATATTGATGCCATAGGTGTAGCTGAGGGGTACCACTCACAGCCGGCAGTATTTTTTGGTTTTGGGATTATCTTGCCCTAATTGGACAGTTCCTCAGGGTCAGTTCTCTCACGCTTTGATTTATAGACTGACCTTTGAAGGTTCACTGTGCACACACACACACACACACACACACACACACACACACACACACACACACACACAGATATATTATCATATGCATATTAGAGTCAGTTTAACCTGTATAGCTCCAAATCAAAACAACAGTTGACCCTACAATAATACAGAGAAAACGCTCACATGACCTCCTTTGAGCAAGCGCTTTGGCAACAGTGGGAAGGTAAAACTTCCTTTTGAAAGGAAGAAACCTCTGGCAGAACAAGGTTCAGGGATAACTGATTAAATGAAGAGTGGTGTAAAAACACAGTGAATGAAAAAAGAGAGTGAAGAAAAAACATGTCACACTCCTCATGGGAAGCCTTCAGCAGCATAGACCTGTTGCATTAAACGTAGAGAGGGTGTCTGACTCCAGACTGAGAACTGGTTCCACAGAAGAGGCACCAGGAAGCTGAAGGAAACCCAAATAAGCCTGCAGTCTGAAAGCCAAATGCTCTTTTGGGGTGATATGGTACTATGAGGTCTTTAAGATAAGATGGGTCGTTATTCAGCACCCTATGTGTAATATGTATGTATAGTACTTTACAATACAATTAATGTAAGTAAAGCACTTTTAATAGTGTTTTACATACACTTTTGGGACTATTTGTTGTTTTCTTATCTACATCCGTAGCTCTGACTCTGTTTGCATGTTTGTATCGATCAGGAAGAGCAGCATCATCATTGCTGCAGATGAGAGTACAATCAGCTGGGGACCCTCGCCCACATTTGGAGAGCTGGTAAGAGTCATTATGAGACATCACATGTCCAGTGTTAACAGCTTTGTAGGCCATCGTCTACATAATCTGTCGTTATTTTTGTTTTTAAACCTGAACAAAAAACATACAGAACAATAGTTCTGTTTGGTTAAAATAGTAACATTTAGTTAAAATAAAATTAAAATTTAGTTAGTGAAAATATCAATATTTTGTGAGACAAAATAAAACGATTGAAATTACACAGATGCTCTTTTGTGCTAATAACATAAAATCTGTGAAATAAAAAATGTGATGCCCTCAAATTACAGAAACAAAAGTCTAGATACTGAGTGTAAAAACTACTGACCGAGAACAGTCACAGGTGCCACAGCTGGTTTAACGTTTCCGCTGGTGTGTGGGGAGACGTTGGCGTGCAGAGTGTAAAACAGTCTTAATTCTGCAGTGGATGATTCAGCTGGTGGAATAAATTCATGCCACTGCTCCGTTTGCAGCAATAGTTTTACAGCATGTTTTGGAAATTACCACATTTTGTTTGACATCCTCCTTAAAATCCAAGCGACGAGCGAGTCTCATTCATTGCTCGCCTGAAACTCGCACTGACAGTATTTAAACACGCATGCTCAGAGCAGTGCGCCAGGTAGCAAGTTTTCCAGTTGGGAGGGGGGATTTATGATAAACATCAAGATGAACAGAATCAACTTACAGGGTATACACAAACTACAGACATAGTTGGAAAAATGTAACCAATAAAAGAAATTTGAAAGAAATTAAGAGCTGCCTTTTAAATGTGAAATTGATCTTTTCCAGTTAAAGAAATCTGGTCTTTGAGCCACAAAAACTTGGGGAAGTCAAAAGTGAACTCCAGAGAAGGCGGATATATCTTCCTAACAGAGAACGACTTGTAATCTACAGGGGAACAAGTGGAACCCCCAAAAATAGCAATGAAAAGCTCCGCATTTACCCGTGTCCCTAAAACCTTAGACATGATCATGAAATAGTCAGTCTGACATTTGTTCATTTTACACCAGGAGTGGAAACATGTGGCTCAGGTTACAAGAAGAGGCATTGCATCTTTCACATTGGTCAGTTATTTTGGAATCAGTTTTGACAGTCCAGACTGAAATGGACTTGTTAAACTGTAAGAGTTGCAACTTGGCGCAGCTTGCACTTCATTGTATACTAAGAACAATTTTATTCCACCGCCTGATTCCAACCTTGTGCATTTTTGTTTTTGACTGCAGTATGAGTATCCAGGGCCATCAGTGTGTTGTATAGTTTGTGAAGTCGAAAAACCAGAAGACCATCCGATGGCTGTTCAGTAGGCAGCGAGGGAAAACAGGCGAAAAGGATGCAAAACAACTTAGTACTTAAATTATTTTAATATAACTTAAAATAAGTGGGACACAGGAAAATTAAAGTTGGAGGATGAATTGGAAAACGATCATAAGAATCCACAGTCTTGTTACATTGAAACTTTGTAGTGTGCTTTAGTGTTGCTACAGTCTTGTCAAAATCTCTTTGACATTCACATGAAGATGAATTTGACCAGTGACTTGCTTCCAAATTCGAACAATGTTTATGCAAGTGAAATATTGTGATATTGGCTGTTTTGTTGTAAGATAGGAGATGAACATTGATCACATCTGTCATTGATCTTGCAGGGATACGGAGACACCAAACCCAAATCCTCCACCACCGCCCAGGAGGTAAAGACCTTGGATGGCATCTACATTGAGCAGGTAAATGGACAAGGTGGTAACTATTTGAAGTAGAGTCATTAAGATGCATACTGTTACAATCGCTGATCAATCGTTGATCAAATTAAGCAGTGCCAAAGTTTCACATAATTAGAATGTGTGAATGAGCCGATCCAAATCTGATGCATAGTTTCAGACAGTCTTGGATTTGATTGGTCAGCTACCGATCAGACAGTTGCAGAGTCGATCCCAGACTCCCAAAAACTTGAGTATTCTTGGGCAAGATACTGAACCCGTGTGTGTGTGTGTGTGTGTGTGTGTGTGTGTGTGTGTGTGTGTGTGT